ACGGCCCCATCCTCTGAGGAGGGGGGCGAGAGTTCCTCACACCCCCAAATCGTCGCCTGCCACCAGTTTAGGCTTTGCTCTAACTCCTGCCCCCCGCCAAAGAAGAAACCCGCCGGCCCCTCTGGAGGGTGGGGAGCAAGACTTGGGGTCCCCCAGCCTTGCCATCGTGAGAGCGGGCATGCAGGGCTGTCCCCCGAGAAGGACACTCAGTGTGGGGGGATCTCCAAGCACCTCGGATCCCACCTCAGCTGGGGATGCCAGGCCGGGTGGGAAAGGGTGCTGAGCAGGATTGAGGGGGGCAGGGGTGCTGCACCCAGGCTTGGTGCACCCACAGGGGACGGGGCAGTGGGGACTCACCGCTGGCTGCCTCCAAAGGTGCCTGCTCACCTGCACCCTGAGTGGGGACACTGGCCACCAAACGGGACCCCATGACACCCACACCACTCCCATGTCTTGGTCCCCAGGACCACAGGGTCAGGGGACGTGAGGATATGAGACATCAGAGAATCCACGCAGGCTTCCCTGGAGAGCCTCAGTGCATAGGCAGGCGTTTGTCCCCCAGAACAGCCTTGGATTTACCTCTAGCACTGGATGGAGAAGAAGGAGCTGAGGAGCTGATGGATTCTCCTGCAGCCCCTCATTGTCACCAGCCTCATCCCTGCTCCCTGCCCAGCATGAGGGAGCCTTGTTAGCCCCTCGCAGCCCCCCCACATCTCCCTGAGGGCTGCAGCAGCTTCAGTTAAAAAGGAGGGCAGAAGGATGGAGGGATTCAGTTAGCCTCCAACCTTTCATAAGGGAGCAGCTCCACGACTTTCTTGATTGGGGCAAAACCACTCCAATCTGGCACAGTGAGCCCTTGGATGGCTGGGGGCCCTGGTTTCCCTCCCCAGGGCAGACGGCAGGGGTGGGAGGCACAGCATGGCTCAGGGACAGACCCAGCACCCCTCGGTGCTGGGGAGCAGCGCAGGGCAGGGTACAGGCAGGAAGGAGATGCAGCCCACAGGCAGCTCCGGCAGTTAAGGAGGCTGCCTGCCCAGACCCGCACGCTGCCTGCCAGGACCCGAGGGTTTTGGGGAGCGGCACCGTGGCAGGAGCTCCTGGGAGGGAAGGAGCAGGATGAACCCCAGCCCCGCCAGCTGCTCCTGCTCCCCGTGGCACCCCGAGGCTGATTGGAAGTGGAGGCTTCCAAGGAGCAGCCCCACAGCCTGTCCATGCAGGATCCTGCCTGCAGCGCCGTCCCGCAGCCAGACCCCACCATGCCAAGGAAATCCGCAGTGCCTGGGTTCCCTGAGACGCAACTGGCAGCACCATGGACAGACAGACAGACCCCCCTTCTCCTGGCTGTGCTTACAAAGATTTATTGACTTGCACAGGGAGGACGGGGGGCACTGGCCCCAGCTCCCCCAGCAATCGGGCAGGGAGGCAGGACAAGATGTGGTCAGGTGGAGTGGGGCACCAGCCACCCTGTACCCCAACGCCAGCACCAGTGGAAGTGGCATGGGGACAGTGGGAGGCGTTGCCAGCACTGGGAGGCACCTGGGCGAGGGGGACACAACTTCCAGGGGTGTAGCTGGGACCCAGCTTGTGAGGGCACAGCCAGGACATTTGGCACACGTGTCACCATGGGGCCAGCCCTGAGCGCAGCCAATGTGGCACAATGCCACCTGCGTCCTCAGCACGCTGGCAGATGTTTGCTGTGCCCACCTCCTGCCCCCCTTTTCCAAGCCTCCCATCCCGCCGTTGGCGCCCCCCATGCTGCCCCTCATCGGGGGCTCAGCCCTCGGCGGGCAGCGGGGGCACAGATGCCAGGGCGGGCAGGAGCCAGGCATAGATGTCGATGCCCCGCAAGAAGATTTGCTCATTGAGGAACTCGTTGTGGTCGTGGAGCAGCACCGGGGTGTGGTTCATGGGCGAGAAGCCGATAGCAGGGTGTCCTGCCTGTGGATGGAGGAGCATGGGGTGAGCCCAAGCATGGCTCCTGCTTGTGGCTGCAGGGTCCAGCCTGGGCAGGGGACACACGGGTGGGCTGGCATCGCACTCACTGCTCGGATGAAGCGGCTGTCGGTGGCAGCTGGGAAGATCTCGAGCTTCAGTTGCAGCTTCCTGGCAAGTGACACCCTGCGTCAGCAAGGGCACAGGGGCAGCTGGGTCCCCTGTCACCCTGCCACCCTGCAGGCAAAGAGACCATGCCAGGGAGGTCCCTCAGCCCTGCCGGACACTCAACCCCATCCCTTTTAGGGGGGGCACAGGGAGATGCACAGAGCACCCCATCCCAACCCCTGCCATGACCCTCGAGGACCCCCTTGCTTCGACCAGAGCTACCAGAGGATGTCCCCGCCAGGGCCCTGCCCATCCTGGGGACACCACTCACATGTCCCTGCAGACCCCGCTGAAGGCTTTCCACCACGGGTCCGACTCCTCAGTGGAGGTGATGTTTTGGTCCATGCATTTCTGAGGGAGGGAGAGGGCAGGTGAGGGGTGGGCATATGGCAGTGAAGGGATGGGCACGATGTGCCCGGGTGGCCAAAACCCCTCACCTGGTGAAACTCATAGGTGACACCATCCCCGGCTCCCCGGCACCACGCGGCCACCTGCTCCTCAAAGGCCTGCGGCAGAGACCGGAGGGGGGTGTCAATGGGGTACCTCCCAACCTGCTCCCCTCCCAGGTGGGGCCGGCATGGCACCCACCTTCAGGTCCACAGTGGGTGGGATGCGGATGTCGAAGCCTGCTGCCATTTCAGAGGGCACCACATTGAAGGAGACGCCCCCCTCCAACATGGTCATGTTGAGTGAGGTGACATCCCCTAGGGTCAGGCTTGAGTCGGACTTCAGCCTCGGGGGACACAAGGGAGAGTCACCCTCTGCCGCCCAGGGAGAAGGAGAAGCGCTCCCAGACCCCACCACCACCGCCAAATTGGGAAACTGAAGCATGGGGCAGCGGCGCCAGATCAGAGCCTGGCTCGGGATCCCGAGACCCCCTCCATGCACCGAGCTGAAGCCACCGCCATCCTGCTGCTCATCTCCTACCTCTGCTTCTCGCTCTCCCGGAAGGCCAGGAAGGAGTTGATGACTTTGTGCTGGAGAGGGAAGGGTGGCGGATAAGGACCGGCCCCATGCAGGGGCACCTGGCAGCCCCGGGGTGGGCAGGGAGGTGCGCAGGCTGTACCCCCTCTCTTACCATCTTCTCAGCCGCCGTGTTGCTGATGAAGCGGGACCCGTGCCCGGGGCTGCCCGCACACTTCACCTTTATCCCTGTGGCAGCAGGGAGAGAGGGAAGCATTGAACAGAAAACCCTGGGGGGCACTGGTGCCCCGGAGATGGGTGCAGGGGACACACACACAGTTACTCACACCATGGGCTCTTCTCGCCATAGAAGACACTGAAGGTGTTGGATGGGTTGGCCAGGCCTGTGGTGGGCACAGACAGGGTGGTCAGCAATGCCATGGTGTGTCCCCCTCTGATCTGGCCTCCAGGCTGGCACCATGGGGGTCACTGCCCAGGGGAAGGAGCCCCCGGGGGGGCCATGGAAGCCATGCCGGGTGCTGGTGCCACAGGGTGATGCCAGAGGGGTGCATGCCAAGAGGATCCCATGCCAGCCCTGCCACCACTCACCCTCGTCCAGGGCAAAGCCCACGTTGAGTGCTTTGAACTCAGGGCGCTGCACGAACAGCTCCATGCCCTTGTGTCCGCCTATCTCCTCATCTGTGGGGAGACCCTGGCATGGAGGAAGGAACCGGGGTGTCCCCCAGCCCACCAACCCCCAGCCTTTCTTCCACGCCAGCCTGGGTGCCACTGGCGCACCCAATGACCTTGAACATGGACACCCCTCCAGCCTCGAGCTGGGGGAGCTCGAAATCTGGAGAAGCTGGCACGGGGGTGCTCACACAGATGAGAGATCACAGAGAGGGGCACCCTGGGGACTCACCAGGCACAAAGGTGAGGTGGATGGTGCGGGTAAAACACTTGCCCTCTGCCTTCAGCCTCCGGATGGCCTCAAGGTACCTGCAGGGAGAAGGCAGTGCCTGAGCATCATGGAGGAAAGGGGCTGGTGTGCTCTGAGCCACCCTGTGGGGGGGCAAGCAGTGGCACCCATTGCCCCAGGGACCCTGGGGATTGTGGCATCCAGTGGGCGCAGAGCCCTCCACTCACTGGATGGAGACACACTTCATGTCCTGGGCACCCCGGGCGTAGATGTTGCCCTGAGAGTCCTTCACAGCCTCTAAGGGTGGGTAGGTCCAGTGCTCCTGTGGGGAACAGGAGCTGTGATGGCAGAGGGGCATGGCAGGCACAGCTCCCCTTCGCCTGCCACC